ATCGTTTATGGTTGATGGCTATGTTGTTATACAATCTTTGCAATTTTTTAATGGAATACCTTTTTTTGTACTTAAAATTTATGAAAATCTTACCTTTGAAACATTTCATTATGGGATTAAGTGTCACATTTCTAGCTTAACAGTAAATCGAATCTTAACTGTTGACTCCTGGTCTAAGTTTGATGAGATACTTCGTTTTTTAAGCTCTTTGAAAATTGATAATAAAAAAGAAGTAATTATGCAACATGTTTCAGTTATGGGACCAAAATTAGTTGGAGATACACCTGAAATACTTATACGCTCTTTTTTATATTTCTTAACATCCAAGGGCATTATATAATCGCTTAAGAAATGATCAACTTCCATCTATTTCAACACTGACTCGAATTACTTCAAAAATTTCTAATATTAATGAAAACAAATTTATTTATTCAATTTTTAACTCTCTTCTGGATAAGCAGAAATTATGTATCATACTACATGATGAAATATATGTTAAAAAAAGTTTGCTTTACCATGGTGGAACTATTTTTGGTAGATCGGAGGATAACCCAATGGAATTGTCCAAAACATTGTTAGGGATTATGGCTGTTTGTTTAAATGGGGGTCCAAAGGTGTTAATTAAAATGATACCAATATCAAAATTATGATCTGATTTTTTGTTTGAACAGATTAATTTAACTAGTCAAATAATTGATTCAGTCAGTACAAATGTAAAAGCTATTATATGTGATGGGAATCGTGTCAATCAGGCTTTTGTTAAAATGTACACATTCATTCCGGGAAAACCATGGTTAACAGTAGATGGAAAGTATTTACTTTATGATTTTGTACACCTCATAAAAAATATTCATAATCTTTGGTTAACTGAAAAAACTCAGGAATTAATATTTGACGATAACGGAGCAACCAGGATTGCAAAATGGACTCATTTAAAGCAGCTTTACAATGCAGAATCCAGAAGCTTTCTAAAGTTATCTGACCTGAATGAAACTTCTATTTCTCCTAAACCTGTTGAACGACAGTGTGTATTAACAGTTTTAAGAGTATTTTCAGAAAAAACTTATGCTGCTCTTTTGCAACATCCTGACATGATACATATTGATGTTAACGACACTGCTATATTTATTAATAAAGTTATTATTTGGTGGAAAATTTTAAATGTCAAAGCCATTGGTGCTGATACAAGGCATAATGATCCTTTGCAGGCTGTTATCAACAATCCTGATGACAACCGTTTAAATTTAATACTACAATTTGGTGATATGGCACTTAAAATGGCAGGTCATAAAGGTAAGCGTATTAAACAGCTTTCTAAAGATACTGCAACTTGTATACATCAAACTTGTTATGGACTAGTAGATTTATGTAGATATTTACTTAACACTACGCAAAACTATGTTCTTCTTGGTCAATTTACTTCAGATCACCTGGAAAAAGAATATAGTATACTTCGTCAAGGTTCTGGTGGTACATATTTTCTTAGTGTTCAACAAGTTATTGAAAAATTACGTATCAAACATGCATCTTTACTTTTGAAGTTAAATGTAGATATTAACAATTTTAATGTGAAGTCTGGTCATCAATGTGCATTATGTGATTACAAATTGTCTGAAGACTGCTGCAAAATTCTTGATAACTTGCAAGATCTAGAATCTTCTATTGCTGATGATGTTAAAATGTCACTTATTCACATTGCTGGTTATGTTACACGAAATGATAAAGAATGAACTGATTATGAACTTTTAGATCAAACAACGTTCTATTTTCAGAAATATGGTCAGTTTTCTAAATTTTTGGATTGTGGTGGATTAAAAATTCCAACTGATAATTCATGCCAATGGACATTTTTTTGTTTTGTAGTTTTTCAAATAGTTAAAGATCATGTATGCCAAAAATCTTTAAGTAGTATTTTTATGATTATATCAGACTATTATTTATTGGATATGGAAGAACATCATTGTGTAATATTGAGCAACATTTTTTTTTTTTAATTTATGTACCACTGTCACTCCAAGATCTGTCTACTTAGTTGTCTACTGTTTATAATATATTCAGTATACTTTTTTATAAAAGATTTATAAAAGTTTCATATATTAGTTGGGTTTTTTTTTCAGATTTTGTTAACAATTTTAATCAAAATTTATCTAATATTTTTTGTTTGGTTTAATAACATTTCTACTCAATATAAGAAAATATCAATTTTGTATTTAGCTGTTAAAGCCAAAACTAAAGGTGAAATAATATAATTATGTAAATGTGTGAAATTTGAAATAAGAAAAAATTTCTTTGCCTTTTATTTACATTGTATTAACAATGTAAATAAAAGGCAAAGAAATTTTTTCTTATTTTTTCTTATTTCTTATATATTACTTAATATTAATTTTCTTTTTTCATCAAAAAAAATTATTAGGCTATACAGAGAATTAAAATTACTTTTTAGTTTTAAAATTACGAAGTTATTATCTTTTTTGCCGTAAAAAAGTAGGCCTCCACAAAAAAATCCGGTTGCGCGATGAATAGGCCTGTAGTAGAGAACGCTATGGTTTAAACCAATCACTATTTATTAAAATAACAATTGCATCAGTTGCTACAAACCTTTCGCAAAAAAATCCTAAAATGTTTCAAACAAGATAGGAGGATGTTTTTATTAACCAATCAATTTTGTAGAAAGTTTAGAACAATTGGATCAGTTGCTCCAAATCGTTCAAAATTTTATAATACTTCGCTCATAATTTTTGTCGTAGGACTTTGCTAGTAAATTAAAGTTTTGAAATAAAGATAAATTTTTTAGTTTCAAATGCAATTAAGGCTAGGTATTTGCAAAATATTTGCAAATGTAAAAATCAGTTAACTGAAGAGTTGAAAATTTTAAGTAACAAGTGTCCAGTGCAGCCATATAGCCATATATAGTCTTGAAAATTCTGAAATGGATTGTTTTATCCGGAAGCCAGACGATAGTAAAGATTATGGTGCTTTAAGGAAAAACTCTATTACAAAAATTAATGGTGTTATATATTTCCAAAATAAAATAAAATAAAATAAAATAAAATAAAATAAAATAAAATAAACTGATCTTGATTTATATACTTTTTTTAATTTATTTTTACACTTTATTTTTTAAACTTTTTTTACTTATCCTTTACACTTTATTAGTCCTAAAAATAAAACAAATAAAAAACAATTCTCTGATGTTTTTGTTACAGAAAAAGTTAATCCTGCAAAACATAAAAATTCAATCTAA